AATTAAAACCATCTGCTTCCTTCTGTGCATCTCCGGATGATATCACTGGGCCTGAATAGGAAACTCCCATGAAAATCAAACATCTGGAAGACTGGTTAAAGCAGTCTATAAGGTGCATTTGAAGAGACTGTTCTGTGAATGTGCCCAAGCAAATATAGCACAGCAGATGAGGAGGTTTTTCCAACAGATCAGACATTTTCCAGAGGTCTTTTGAAAGCAAGAGAGAACCAAGTATTGGGAGGTAACTTCAGTTTACTTTTGTAGCAGAAGAGCCAAAAGTGCAGCTTTTGTGAGTCTTCTACTTTTACTTTGTAGTGTTAGGTTGTTAGAGTGAATGCAGCTCTGTGGATTTGTGGAAACTTCAAATTTGGATAAATATCTTTGTTTTGGTTTTTTTGTCTCTTGTTTAGCTCCATGAGAGCCTGAGCTAAGGCAAATGCAGGCTGGAGACAAGAAGGAGGAGGGAAAAAAAAATGGGCTGAGCTCAAAAGTATTTGAGCTGGAAAGTAGCCCAGAGAGAGTAAAGGAGAAGCTTTAATTAGAAGCAGCTGCATAGCTGATGCAGCCCACAGGACATTTTCCCATTTCAAACTCTCTAGCTTTCAGTAATCGTGATTTGAATTAAGTTGTATGTGAAATTTGTTCTTAAAAGATTAAATTCCTGTTGAAGTAGGTTGAGAGACCTCATGTGCTTCCAGAAAGTGCCAGAACAAACTTTATCTTCCTGTTGCTGTTTGAGTGTTAGATGGAAAACTGAGGAGAAGCAGTGCCTTTTATTTGGAAAAGATTCTATTTCCTGTTCTGAGCATGTCATTTGGAGCTGACACAAGCTGCTACAATTTTAAGAAGCTGCTCTGTAGACAAGTGGCTTTCCCCCCCCCCCCCCGAAAGAGTAGGTTGGGATGAGAGCAGAGCAGGGGTGGTGGGAAGCTGGAGTTGCTGTTGAGGATAATTATATCCTTTAAAGAAGTCTGGACTTAGACCCCGCTTTTTCAGTGTTTGCCTCTATTTTTTAGAGACATAATGTGGTACCCAACATGAATCATGGGCAAATATTTGCAGTTTTGTCTATACCAACATTTAGAACTAAATTACTAGTATTTGTGCCTAGAAATATTGATGACAGAAGACATGGTTGAAAATCTGGATTGTAGGTTTTTGTTCCTTAACATTCAGGAAAGATTGCACTGGATTGCTGGAGGGGAAAACTGCATAACTGTGTGACCAAGCACTTCTCCAGGAGGAGAACAAAACGGTGGATACCTGACCTACCATCTTTCCACACGCAGACATGTTCCCTCTGGCATATTCTGTAAGGCTTTGTCCTTCCAAATATAAAGAGCTAAAGTTGAAAGAGCTTTTTCTGTTCCCTGTTGGAGCGCTCCCTCATGTTTTTCTGATTAGCCTCTGAAGATACCAGAACAAGCCTGGTCTTGGAGTGCTCTTCAACTTTGTCCCAGAACATTTAGGTACAAAATGCTGGGCCATTTGTGGGTGATGGTTGTGAGTTTTGTGTTAGAGCACAGGTCCCATCTTTCCTTTTAAATCATACCAGTTATACTCTTAATCAGTGTTTAGGCTCCGTCCTCACAGTTACCTAGGGGCAAGAGTTAAATATATCTTCCAGTATCCCTGAATATTGCAGGGGGAGAGGAGTGTGTTTTGTGGTTTATTTGCTTGTGGACAACACGTGGGATGTTCCTCTAGCCTTTCTAGTTTGTTTTACAGCCTTTCAATGAAAAAGCACTTTAGGACTTATCTTTTATGTATATTTTGTTTGTATTTGTTGGAGTGGTGGATGATGTTGGAGGACCTCTTCTTTACCTGAAGAAGTGCCTTCGGTTGGGTTCTGTGAAGTTCTATTTTGTTGCTCACTCTTTCATGAGAGAGTTACAAGTGCATGGCCTGTGCTGGCTGCTGTTAGTTGGGGAAGTTTGGTGTGCTGCTGACACTGAAGGCAGCTGAGCTGCCGAAAGCCCCCCGTCATTGGTGGTGGTGAAACTAGAAGAAATACCTATTACAAAATCTTGTAAACCTTCTGGGACTGAAGTTCAGATTGACTCTACATGTTCATCAGCTGCATACAGATGTCCAGAAACATGATTTAATTGTAGTTAGCCAGACGGTCTCTGAGCAGAGCTAGCCAGTGCTCCATGTGCAGGCTTGAATGCCGTGGGAGTTGAGCAGTTCTCAAGCTTCTGGCACAGCTGTCTTTGCTGGGTGCCAGGTTTCTTCATGATTGAGCTCCTACAAAACTGTGCTGTAGCCTGCTGGTGTTTGGACTGATTTCTAACCCGTATCAAGGAGGGATTTTGGATGTTAAACGAAGCATATAGAACTTCCATGGTTTAGGCCCAGAATACCCAAAGATTGCCTCTTGTGTGACGTGGCAGCACCTTACACTGACAGCCTTCAGCTGTTGCAACGAGGATGGCACAAGAGGTAGAGGACATTCCACAAATGGTGTTCTCAGGATTTGCTTTCTGTAACTTTATTAATCCCGCCTTGCCCTGGAAAAACTCTTTCATGTCTGTTCTTGGGTACGAAGTTGAAAGTATTAAGGTATGGTGAAAGGAGCCTAGTTTGGGCGTGGGGAAAGGTAAATTACAATTATGCACATCTATTATGTGACTTTCCTGCTTTAGACATATGGCTAAAGCTAGTTAATAAATTTTAACATGAGAAAAAACAGTTGTGGTCATCTAGTAATGACCCCTTTCATAACTTGGATAATAACCTCTCTGAGTAGCTGTGTTTGAACTAGCGTGCATACACTTTCTGAGACAGCCAATCCTAGTGTTCTTTTAAACAAGCATGAGTGATGGAGAAATTCCACTGCAACCTTAAATGCATTGTTCCAGTTGTTTATCTCTACTACTGAGAAACTGTGTGTAAGTCTGTGTTTGAAGATAAAAATATTACCCTATTTCTATTTTGAATTTGTCTAGTTTGAACTTCTGATGCTTAGTTCTGTTATCCCTGTACCTTTTAGAATGGGAATTATTGTTAAATCCGAGGTTTTGTGGGTACTTGAAGCTTTTGGGTACTTGAAGCTTTTGATTAACCGTCTTCTTCCCTTTGATAAGTAGACTGAAACACCTGAGCTTTTCACTGTGTCAAGAGCTCTCTATTAATCATTACTGCTCACTTTGAGTTCAGTAAAGCTCTTCCTTCTTAAACAACAGACATGAGAACTGATGTAATGGTGTGGTAATGGTTGTGCCATGCAAAGTATCAGATATAGCATAATCTCATTTACCTCCTACCTAATATTTGCTGTTTGTAAATCTAAAGTATTTCTGGCTGAACTGTCATGCCAGGAATTCACATTCGGCTGACTGTTAGGAACCCCCAGAGCAAGTCTGACTTTCCCAGATTGGCCTCCTGTTCGGGGGAGAGTGCTGTGTATGTTTTGTTTCTAGCTGTGTGACTTCACCATTCTAAAGTGCACTTCATGTGCTGACTGCCTTGTTAAGCAGTTCATGTTATTACTCTTTATCAAGAGCTTGTCTTCACTCTTACCTACTTGTTTGACCAGCATTGATGTTTTCAGTTGTTATTTGTTGATAGAAGTGTTGAATAGCGTAGGAACAAAGGCAGATCCTTGTAGTATTCTGTTTAAAACACAGCTTCATGATTGTTCTTTGATTTTTTAAATTGAATTTTAAGGCCTATCCAGTTAGGTGTGGGAATTTTTTGTTTGTTTGTTTTTCAAGCTACTGTACACTTTAAAGTGCTTAAGTAAAAGGCAGTCTTTTTACTGTTATGTTCCTGTCTCGGGGCTACGTAGAGATTTGTGTATTTTTTGCAGTTGGAATCTCTTCCTTTTGGATTTGAGTAACTGATTTAATAATTGTATCTTATTCTGGAACAAAGTGTATCTAATAATCACCTCTGAATTTTTGCAGTGAAATACATGTTCTTTCAGGCTGTGTGTAGTTTGGGTTACTTACCAGTTAAAGCATGCAGCTGTGCATAGAAGAAGTACAAGTGGACAGTCCTGTTTTGTGTGTTAGGTGTTATTTTTATCTAGCATATACTCTTGCAGCTTTCTGCTACCTGGAAGAAGAAAATGGAACTGTGGGATGACACAAAGGTGGGGTTTGCAGGCTTGCTTGCCTGGGTCCTGTGTTGCTGGAAGTTAAATGGAAAATTTGTAGTACAAAGGCCATTTAAAAGATGGATTACAGCTGACAAGTGTAGTCAGACTGTATTGACATAAGTTTAGGTTAGAGAGAAATAACTGCAATTATTCTGCAATCGCAGATCTTTGTATAAAATATTGCCCTAGCTGTAGATAGTGTGTGTGTACTCGTTCTTCTGTAGGAGAGAGAGGAACAATGACCTTGTCGTTAGGGTGCTAGTGAGGGGCGTGGGAGACCTGACTTCAGTGCTTGCGTTGCTAGCTGAGTGCAGACTTCTGCATGTCACAGTCCCAGAAGCACTTATCAACATAAGGATAACAGTATGTTCCTGTCTCACGGGAGTGTTGTGGAGAAAGATCTGCTACAGATCCTCAGGCCCTCAGACACTGCATTTGTACAAGGTTTATAAATATTTTGGAAGATGGATAATACCTAGTGTTAATACCTATTATCTAAAATACTTTTCTTCGTAAAAAGGATGCTTATTAGAATGGGAGTGGGTGCAAGGAATTGTTACTTGGCAGTTCTTTTAACACCTAGGCTTTTACTGAAGTTTTGAAGGGAAGTGCAAGAATAAGGTCCTGCATTTGATGTAACTCTGACTGTATGCAGTATTTCTTCATTTTGTAATGAGTGATTTCACAATTTGAACTTAAGTTTTCAGTGGTTTCAGTTGGGACAATACCAGAGAAAGGCCCTGTTACACTTATGACGTTAGCATTTAGGTCTGTTAGTGTTATCATTAGTTATGGCAAATTCCAAGACTTTTGGGGCTCATGGAACTTCATTCCTGGTATCTTCCCAGGATGGCAAGGCTTCAGGTGAAAGTGCTGCGAATAATTTCTTCTCTATTGCAGGTGTCGAGAAGGCTTTCTTGGAGACTACTGTCAGTACAGAAACCCCTGTGAAAGCAATACCTGCAAGAATGGGGGAACTTGTGAAACTGCGTCTCTGATAGGAAAGGCTACCTGCAAATGTGCTCCGGGGTTCACAGGAGAGGATTGTCAGTATTCAGAATCGCACCTCTGCTACATGTCCCAGCCCTGCCTGAACGGAGGAACTTGTCATCCCCAGAGCCAGGAAACATATGAGTGTGTCTGTCTTCCAGGTTACACAGGTGAGGTTCTGTATTTGTACCTTCAGACTCTCTTCTTTAGAGAATTTCTTCATCCTAGAATGTTCTGCTGCAGTCACAATACACTCAAATTTACTAGCTCCAGCACAGGAAATGAGAAAAAGTCTAAATGACTTCATGACCCAAAAAAAGCAAAGGGGGAGAGGGCTTAGGGAATCAACCTCCCTACCCTTTACACGTAAGCAGAAAAACATTTAGATCTTGTGGCATTGTCCACATGGGAAAATTGAGTGCAGAACTTGCTCTGGAGTGGTGGCTGTTAGGCTTTGAATTCAGAGTGTAGCTTCTAGAAAAGTGAAATAAATTTGGCAGCAAAATCTTTCTATGGGAAAACTGTAATTGGGTGCCTGAGGGGAAGCATGGAAACTCACTTTTTTCATTCTTGAAGGGGACGTAGAAGAGTGACTGTCAGTGTGTAATATGATTTCAGGATATGGGTTATTTTTATAAATCACAACCTTCTATATTTTGCTGCTACTTTGCAAATAAAATGACTTTGTACTGTAACCAGAAATAGATTATTTTTTTTTTTGTTTCAAATATAACACTGTAAAATGCAGACATAAATTTTTCTCTAAAATTTTAGGATTTAGTATACCAATCACTTTGAGGTAGCATGAAGGAAATACTGTTTTCCACAGAAATAACATTTTATTAATGCAGTGCTCTGTCTTGATTCTACAGGGAAGGATTGTCAGTGGATTGATGCCTGTACAACTCAACCTTGTGCCAATGGAAGTACATGTACTGTATCTGGAAATAAGTTCTCCTGCATCTGTCTGCCTGGCTACACGGGCCAGAAGTGTGAAATAGATGTGAATGAATGTGCCACACCAGGCCTTTGTCAACATGGTGGGACCTGTGTCAATTTGCCTGGCTCATACAGGTGCCAGTGCAAGCCAGGCTACACAGGGTATCGCTGTGAAAGTGTATATGTGCCGTGTTCCCCATCACCCTGTATGAATGGAGGAACTTGTCATCAAACAAGTGACTTCGCTTTTGAGTGCAACTGTCTGCCAGGTAAATGATGATGCTTCAAAGTGCTTGGTTTTGTGGTTTTGTCACTGCATTCCTGGATGTATTTGTCTGAAAACTTCTCTTGGATTTTTCTGTGTGATGTTCATGTAATGTAAGGTTCAAGGGAGAAATCTCAGCAAGGCAGGATGTTAATTTCTGAGTGTCAGGATTTGGTAACGTGGAAGGGAAGAAAGGAAGAAGGCTAGAAATGATAGGTTTCTTTAGAACCCTATTAGAGGCAGAGAATCAAATAGGTGTAAGAACTGTGAGGTAGATGCAAATTGATTAGGGTGATATCTCCTAATGCCCATTTGGAATGCAAATTTCCATGAACCTCTACAAATGCATAGTTTCGCCATAGTAAAGGCCACAGTTAACTTCAGTGCTCAAATGAAGATGAACTTATCTTTCTGCTTCTCAGTCTTTACCCCTGAAAAAATACTAGGTTCTATTCTCTTCCTTTTCTCCTCCAGTTCCTCCAAATTTTGAGATATTATTTCCAACTCACCAAACCCTTTCTGTCCTGTAATATCACCAGATAAATGATGCTTGCTTGTTTTCTGATGCTGTTAGCTGCCCTGAGTTCACCCACAGCCGGGGTGATGGGCTTACTCAGGGTCATGGGCTGTATTGGGTTTGTGTGTCAAGCTGGCCTCCAGTCACCAAGGGACCCATCTCTATAAATGACCATATGTCACCTGGTTGGGACTCTGATGGTCTCATCTTGTCCTGCTCCTCCCCATCCACTTGCATATGGACCACAGGGCAGTACTAGTTGTCTTTGAGTATCAGGTTGTGGGGTTTTTTTGGCTGGGTTTTTTTTTTATTATTTTTTATATATTTTTTTTTTTACACTGAGTAATTCAACTCCATGGGAAACTGATTGTTTGGAAATGCTTTTGACTAGACTTCCTACTTAAGCATATTGCAGTTTGGCACATGAGCACTTGGTGTGTGGTAATCTAGAAAAGTAAATTCTCTCCCGTTAAGCATTTCTCTGTTGTTATTTATGTGAAAGATGTAGCTGCCATATACTGTTTAGGATGATTTTAGAGAGACTGCATTCTCATGAGGATCATCTGAAGCAGCAGGTATGTGCAGAAAGAGCATTTAGAACTTGTGAAAAATACTCTCTTTTTACGGACCTTTGTCTTGAAGTATTGGCTCAAATGACTTTAAATGTACATTGCCAACTTTAGCTAGTGCCTGCACGACTTTCTGAGTTTTCTGAGCAAGCACATGACTTTTGAAGAATTTGGGAAAGTTGATCTTAAAATAGAAGGGTGTATCAACTTTATTTTTGTGTGAAAGCAACCATTTCTTAGGGGTGCTTGAAGAAAGCGTGCTTAACCCTACAGGGTCTTTGAAAATGCTGTATCTTAACTAATGGTCGCTCTCGGGGGAATTTATTGCTTTTCTGCTCTTCATCTTTTTAAAATGAAATTGCAGACTAAGTATCTCAGGATTAACAGACTTGATCAGAAATTCGGAAGTTTTTTAGTCAGATCTGTTTAGCGAGTTCAAGATCTCGTGCAGAAGCAGTGTGGTTGGGGGAAGAGGATAAGATGACAAAGTTTGAAGGACCTGATCCTGTAAAGCTGATAAGACAGCTTTTGTGATGCTCTTACAGGAGCGCGAGACTGGGTAGGAGCACATTTTCCCTTAGACAAGCGTGTGGGCTGGCTAAGCTATGGTCGGGAAATGAAAATGAGATTGCTATAGTAACAGCTACACACCTACACTGCTCACACACATTTTGGATTATTAGCTACTTTTTTTGACTTGTTGCACAACATTTATAGTGGGGGTGGGTTAATGCTGCTTTGAGAGCCTTTACTTCTGTGTTTCCTGTATTTGTTTAAGTTGGCCATGTTGTTTTGATGGCTTGATTTGATTTTTTTTTTTTTTTAATTTTTTTAAAACAAGTGATTTGAAAAACAGCAAAAAAAGGGAGAGTTTGGAGAAGCCAAAATGCTTATATTAAACCCTTTGATAAAGGCAAGGCACACAGCCATTTCTTCCCCCTTACTGATGCATGCAGAGCAAAATTTCTGAAGTGTTAGAAAAGGTTCTGTCTGGGAAGGAAAGGTCAACAGAAAGAGAAGAAAAATGGTGATCTGTCACACCTAGGGAAGATGTGAAGATGGCCTGCTAATCTGGAAGAGAGTTCCAAGAGTATGGACTAAAAATTCCTCTTTAGACTCCCTCTCTGAATTGGAGCAATGCCGATGATACTGTGACTATAAATGGAATTGCTCTAGCCCTTCTTTCTGGACTGCCTTAAGATGTTACTGTCGCTCATCATTATGACCATAGAGGCAGGAGGCAGTTACGTCTTGAACTGCTGAAATGGTTTTTCCTATGATTTTGCACTTGTGATCTGTGAAACTGCTTTGAATAAACTGATTGTGCCCAAGCAGCAATTTAGGCATAATTAGGTTACTCCTGGACTGGCCCTGAAATGGGTTTTTGTTTCTTGTAGATGTTTTCTTAGGTTTTGAGTGAATTTCATTTTTTGTAAATGCAGATACATGGTAATGAAAGCTTGAAAATGTCACACATACACACACACACCCTGCAACATGTCAGAGCAGCTTTTTCTACACCAGGACAAGTGATTATGTAGGGTGTAGTCAAGCTGCTATTTTAAATTCTCAGGTTCACATTTCTCTAGTGGATTTACACAAACAAATTTTGCATTAGGTAATTCGTGAAGTCTTGTGTGTTAGAAGTCAATTTTTGGAGGCAAGTGTAAGTGAAGAGTTATCTACTATAAGTATTATATATATGTATGAAGGATAACTTTGTATTTTCTATTTGTCTAGCATAATCATTTTTTCTCTGGGCTTTGGTTATTTAGGTAAAATCAAGGTGGTAGACAGGTGAGCATGTCAATCATAATATGGAGTCGTAGTTAAAGAAACAAAAGCATGTGTGAAAAACTTAACCTGAAGCATTAGCAACTCCCTTAAATATAAGAGTGAGCTTGTAGTTATAAATATTTGACAAAAAGGGAGTTCATTTGGCAACTAACCTTTTAATGGAATGTTAAACAAGTCAATAGAGGAAGTTCTTAGCTGGGAAAGTGATTATTCATTGTTATCCATCAAAATAATTACCCATTAACTAAGATAAGGACCTTAGGGAATTCCAAGGGCTTGTTCAGGAAACAATCTGTCAGGCTGGAGCAGGCTGTTTATGAGAGCTGGAACACTTCCTGGGAAGAGGAAGTAACCTCACGCCAGTTTGTAGCAGAGCGTTACACGGCACTGTGCGGTGAGCATCATGGATGGGGTCTAGCAGACATACTGAAACACTGAAATTCCTGTGGTAGGGATGACCCTGCTTTCTGGGGTTTAGAGATGAGCTGCTTCCTGTGGGGTGTGAGGTTCTGCATGGCTGCAGTCCTGGGGTACCAGATGGTGCGCGTGCCTCTCTGCTCTGGGTGAGCTGGCTCTCCTACATGGAGTAGCCCATCTCACATTGATTTCAAGAAGCTGAATCGTTGGAGTTGCATGCAGGCAACTGCTGTTGGGCACCTGGTGTGCACAACCTTGCTTCTGTGTTGAAATAATAGAGGTCAGTTTTAGTACTCTGAGATCTCTAGTTTCTTGTCAGTTTGGCAGTAACTTGACATTTTCATTAAGTTATAATTTCCTGTCCTCCTAATTTATTGGTCCTGCAGAAAAGTGTAATTTATAGGTTGAAATAAGGCTAAGGGTTAAGATTTGGAGGTAATTGGATTATCATGCTCTGGAATGGGGTGGAGATTTCAGATGACATAGGAGCAAAGATACAGGCTTGTATCAGTCTGTGCACTAGCAGAGGAACAACATAGCAGTGTTAGCAGTGGGAACACTTTTCCCCTTGAGGTTCTCATTCCTTAGTTTGATGTGCTTGGAGATATGGAGCAAAAGTCAGGATATGTATTGCAAACTGTTCTCTTGGAAGAGAAAGCAAAGGACAACATGGGAGTCCCAGCACAGGGGGGAACAGGAAATGGCATCAGGTGTCCAAATCCTTAAAAACAGTGAACTCTGGCTTTGTGGAAGATTCAGGTTATGTAACTGCGAAATCAGACTGGGACCCAGCTTCAGAAGAGCTCTCAGCAACTTCATGCTTGTTGTGCTCAAATGTAGGTGTATTAGCCCAAACAACTGTGACTAAAGGACTGATTTTTAAGGATGAAAGCTAAACTTTTCTAGGACAGTTCAGTTTACAAATTAAGCAGATTGCAGTACTGTGGTGTAAGTAGGACTTGAAGAGGACACAAAAATCATGCCTTTACAGCTTTTTTATGTTCTGAAGCTAAACTAGAGTAATTCTTCAGAGTAAGAGAAATTTAAAGGAAGACTGGGAGTTGGGAAGTTACCAAAAAGGAAATGTGTGTTTTCTTCAGCTGTGCACTCAAAATAGTGTCATCTTCACCATTTCAACCCTTCCTGATTCCCTTTCCCTTGGAGATGTCTTTTGACTGCGCACACTTGACTATGGATCATTTCTCTTCAATCTTTTACTACTTTGACTATTTTTTGGTTTGTTTTTTTTTTTGTAAGCTCTTTTTTTGATTGTTTTTTTGCTTTGTTTTGTTTCTAGTCTACTGTCACTAATGTTATCCTTCAGCTTTTAGTGTAGGATTAATGGTTTTCCACATCTGCATGAGATGCTTGATGATCAGCTCTTAGATGATAGTGTAGCTGGTTAAAACATGAAAATGTGCAATGGCTTGGTGAAGTTTTAGTATTGCAGTGACTTCCATGCTTTATTATTATTTATTACTATTGGGCTGCTCCAAATTTGTGTGCAGTACAGTAAGATAGTTTTAAATAAATGCCTGCTGTCAGGAATTTGTTTACTAGAATGTAGGGTAGGTCTTCATATTGTCTGAGATGAAAGGATAAGAACGTAAGCCTTTTGCGTTTGTGGTTCTGGGTGTATTTCCATGCTGATTACACTGGTGATGTGAGTACCATCTGTGGTCAGTGGGATGTTTCTTCTCAAGCTGAAAAGCAAGCCGATAGGACACCTCTGTGTTTTACAGCTGAGCCTTTAGTAATACAGGATAGCTTTATACAGTTTTAAACATAGTGGTCTAATATGGATTGTGTTCCTTGGTAGTTGATCCTCAACAGCTTTTGCCAGGAAGGTACCATCATGATGATTAGGACTGAGGTTAACCTTGTTACATTTCTTCTTCATTTTAACTTTC